GAGGGAGAATCTTGAGATTTGCCTCTGTGGGATCTGCCTTACTAACAAGAGCTAACAGCCATAGGGAGTGCTGTGCCAAGCTTGCTACACTATCTCAGAGCATTCTTGCAGCAGCTCCATTTTACTGATAAGAAAACTGAGAGTCAGTTTAGAGAGCAGGATGCTGGGCTTGTAAGTAGGAGCCTCCATGTTGCGTGCAATGTTGAGAAAGGCAAGGAGATTTTTGTTCAGAAGTGTGCCCAGTGCCATACTCTAGGGAAGGGAGGCAAGCATAAGACTGGGCCAAATCTCCCTGTTTTTTTTTTTTGGGTGAAAGAAAGGTCAGGCCCCTGGATTTTCTTACACAGATGCCAACGAGAACAAAGGCATAACCTGGGGAGAAGCCACACTGATGGAGTATTTGGGGAATCCCAAGAAGTCCATTCCTGGAGCAAAAATTATCTTTGCTGGTATTAAGAAGAGTGCAGAAAGGGCAGGCTTGATGGCTTATCTCAAAACAGCAACTAATGAGTAATAGTTGGCCACTGCTTTATTTATTACAAATGTCTCATGACTTTGTTATGTAGCAGAGTCAGATCAGGGATGGCTGACAGAACGTTTCTTTGGGGCAGTCCTGAGTTAAATAGTATTGGCTCGTGGTTAAATGAATGTGATCAACATTTTGAACTTTGACGGTCATTTGGGTTCAGCAAGTGTTGTCACTGGTCTCCCCTTCTAAATATATGGCTGGACTTGATTCAAAATGTTCAACTTTTTGCAGAGATGGTGAGTGCCATCTTGAAACCTGCAGGTTGGTTTCATATTTAGACTTATATAACTGGCTGTATGAATATGTTTGAATACTGAGGAAGTCCCTTCCGTCTTAGATCAGCAGGACTCACCTGTGTTTCAACTTGTGCTCATTAGCCTGTTACAGGCAAGGGCTGGCGGTGAGCTGGCCATGTCCACTTTATCTTTTTGGTCCTAACTATGCCAATTTAATGAAAATTCCTGTATCTAAACCGTTGCCTTTTACTTAATGAAAGGCATTTTAGTGTGGTTTATGGATAATATCAAATAAAGAATATTTAAAACTTCTCACATTTTCTAGATGATCTATAAGGTCAGGGTTTGTTACAGCAACCCTAGGAAACTAATACACCCCCACAGCCTCGTTCACAGGCCAATGAAGCCTGTGAGCTCTTGAATCAGGTTATGTCTCTCCCTTGCTCAGAACCCTCTAAGGCTCCCACCTCACTCAGAGGAGAAGTTCAAGTCCTTCCTGCAGGCCTCAAGGCCCTGCACAATCTGTCCCACCATCTTCCTTTCCTCACCTCCCTCTCACCCCTGCTCACTCTGTTCCAGCCACAAAGGCCTCCCTGCTGTTCCTCAAAAGTATTGGGCACAGCCCAGTCTCAGGGACTTTGCACGTGCTGTTCCCTGTGCTTAGAAGACACTTTCCCTAGTTAGTCATGTGACTTGTTCCCTCACCTCCTCAGGTCTTTGTACAAATATCATCTCATGAAACTTTCCAAAATTACACCCACATCACCTCAATTCCCCCCTTTCCTGCATCTTGCCCCATGTCACTTCTAATGTGCCATATCATTGGTGTCTACATTGTGCTTATGGCCTGTCTGCCCCTCACTAGGATGCCTACCCCATGAGGACAGGGATTTTCATCTGTTTTGTTGGCCTGGGGTCCCCAGAACTTACAGGAGCACCTGGCACATTATAGGTGCCTGATAAAGGTTCATTGGTGGGAAGAGACTCAGATCTATGAGCTCGTGAAAGCTGTGTTTGAAACTCCTCTCTGTAGCACCTTCCTGTACCATGTCAGGCTCTTGCTCACACAGTTCTGACTCCTTAAGCCCTCCCTTCCTCTGAGGGTGCAATCTGACTTTGCTGGGTTCATTCATTCTTCCAGAGTTTTATTCAGCAAACATTTACCAACTACAACAGATTAACCTGTTTCCCTCCCTGGAAGGACTCACAGTGTAGAAAAAGCAAACCCTAAATAGACTATCTTAAATCCTTACTGAGGCCCTCAGGGGCCTGAAGGCAGCCTGGGGGTGGGGGAGGGTACCTGCATGGACGCCATGATTATGGGGCCCTTTTCCAAGAAGTGCCCGTCCTCCGCCTGCCTCTGGGTGATGATCCACTTGGCAATGTCACAGAGAGAGCTCAGGTTCACCACACTGAAGGTTGTGGTGGTGTAGGCCAGGGCGAAAACTCGGAACACGTAGCTCGTGAGCCTGTGGGGTTGGCAAGGGGTAAGTGATTACTGGGAAGGGCAGCCAAGGGGGTTCTAGGATGGGGCATCCACACTATGCGGCATCTGCACCATGGACCACACTGCTCCTGACTGACCCCTCATTTGTGTGGAGTGCCGCTGGCCCGCACACTGCCCGCCCCGGGACCCCGCAGCGCAGGTGCTCCTGGGCCACCAAGCCCTAGGCTGGCCCCTTGAGCCTCCTCCGGGCCAGCAGTCTCCTTACCAGGTGCTTCCCGGGTTTCCCTTGTGGATGTGGTAGGTGCCGTCTGGGCTCCGGTGGGTCAGCATCCGGGTGTATCCTGGGGAAACAGGTGGAGGCGGTCTTGCCGGGAGAATGAACGTTGGGTGTGGCTGGGAAGTTATCAGGCATAATCTGGAGGGCAGGCTGTGGCTGTGACTTGGGGACTGCATTCCCCCTAAATACAACCTGGAGGAGGGGCTTATAAACTGTATAAAGTGGGGGGGGCAGGGCCCAGACCAAGCGCTCAGAGGGATCATGGAAGGCGAAAGGGAGGAAAGGGGGTACCCTCAGGGGGCACCACCTGGGCATTTTCTTGGGGGCTCTTTTTTGGCTGCAAACTAAGGGTGTCGGTGTGTCTGCGTAGCCTCAATGAGGTCACACCTGGATGTAGTCTGGTGGGGACACCTCTCAGGTGTATTCTGAGCATGGCCGTTTGCCTGTTATCTGAAGGTTACCTGAGGGTTTGCTCTTTGAGTGCAACATCGGGGTGACAGTGTCTGGGTGTCACTGGGGATTATGTTGAGAGCGCCTGAATGGCGAACTGGGGCCTGGGAGTAACTAGGAAGAGGGGGCCAATGCCCAAATTAACTCGAGGCCTCTTGTTGGAATTAGAGGCATTCACCTCTGGTTGTTACCTGCAGGTTTGGGTGTCATCCTGGGAAATGTCAGCATTCAGGTGGAACTGGGAGGGAGGCCACCACCTGGGATTATTCTGGAGTTTTCTGCCTGGGGTTTCCTGGGGTTGGCACTAACTGAGTGTAACCTGGGACAGTGTCTGACTAGAACATACCATGGGGGATGCTGCGTTGAGGGTAAACCAGGGTGTCTGTTATCAGACTGTAACATGGGAAGGGGGTCTGGGTGAAGGAATAACCTGAGGGGTGAAGGGTCACTGTTGGGGATCACCTGTGGGTCGGTATCAGGTTGTCATCTGGGAGAGGAGTCAGATTTTGGTTGTTATTATCTGGAAGGACCCCATGGGGCCTCCCCCAAACCTGGGGGTACCCTAGTCACCCTCCCAGGGAGTCCCAGACCCTTATCAAGGTCACAGGAGGGCACCGCTCTCACCGCTGACAATGTTCTGCATCACTTGGTCCCTGTGCTCCACCCCGATTTTGCCCCACTGGCCCGTGGCATCCAGATAGCGGGTCAGGATGATCACAGGTGTCAAGCTGCTTAGCGTCTGCTCAGGGCAGCCAGTCGGGAGCCTCAGCAGCTCATGTGTTTCTCTGGCTGTCAGGCTGCCCAGGATTGTCTCTCCAAGGATGTCACCTGTCAGATGGGCACGGTCACCTCAGGAATGGCCTACACCATCATGTCTGCCTGATCACTCCTTGGGGGCACTCTCAGCCCCTCCCGCTGCTGTGCCCAGGTGGGCCCTGGAGGAGCCAGCTCCCTTCTCTGCCTTCCCCTCCTCCCAGGAGCCAGTGGTACCCTAAGCACCTTGAACGCTGACAAACACTTCTGCCTCTGTGTTGGGCACCTTGTTCAAAAGGTCTTTTCTTGGCACCAGCTCAGTCTGGGTCTGACCTGAGCAGACACAACCTTCTGTGACAAGCAGGTTCTGGGGCTGGGGAGGTCAGAAGGCCCAGAGCACAGGAGGGGCTCTGACTGCCCACCTGGCCTGAGCCCCTCCTTTAAGACCTCCCTCTGCCCTAGCATGTCCCCAGGGTTCCACATTCCCCTTGCAGACCCCACAAACCTTGTGGGTTCAGGACGATGCTATGGGATATTTTTTCTATCTTCCCCCCTTCCTGTGGGAGGCAAGGGGGAGGCAAGTTAAAAACAACAATAGCAAAAATGACAATCGCAATGACAATAGGAGGAAGCATTGCTCAGCTAGTGAGAGAACATACTCTGGAGCCCTAATATCTGGGCCCAAATCCTAGCTCGTCTGCCTCCTAGCTGTGTGGTCTCAGGCAAATTACTTAACCTCTCTGTGCCTCAATTGTTTCATCTGTAAAAGAGAGAGAATAGTTTCTACTTCCTAGGGTTGTTCTGAGGGTTCAATGAGTTAATATTCTTAAAGTGCTACATTGTAAGGGCTAAACATGTGCTTGTTAAGAAAATAAAGTATTATTGATGGGTCATGCATGGGTCGTGTGTAATTTTCACAGCTCTCTGATTATTCGTGGGTATGATGATTACCCCCATTCTGTAAATGAGAAAATGGAGCCTGAGAAAAATTAAGTGAGTCGCTCAAGGTCACACAGCCGAGACAAGATTTGAACCCAAGCCTGACTCCAAAGTTGTGAAGTGGGGGCTCTGAGACTGAACTTTCATATTCTTCCTCTCACTTCACTCCCACCTGGGAGGCCTGTTTGTTGGTCCGGGGCCCGCCTGCCCCTCCCATGATCACCCAGGGGAAGCACAGTGTGGGGTGTCCATTACCTGGACCACGAGTGTCTTCTTCACGTGGTCCTGGATGCCATAGCCCACGACCTTGACCTCCACGTCCACTTTGCCTGTCTCAAGTGGGAGAAGCACGAAAGGCACCATCTTGGAGGAGGTGGCGGGTATGACCACCACCTGGCGGGACGGGGCTCCCGGCTTCGATGCGCTGCACAGCGGCTCCTTGTGCGGGAACTCCACGCGGACCTGCGGCAGGGTGGGCGGTTAGGGGGTCCTGAGGCACGGGTGGCCCAGGACCCTAGAGTCATACTCCCCTCGTGCCCCCGTCCTGAGAAGCCTGAGTAGGTGACAGCACAGCAGAGGGTTTGATAGCAAAGACCCCGCCTGAGTAGGGTTCAGACACTTTCTGCCTTTTATGTGCTGTGTGATCGCAGAAAGCCCTTTGACCTTTCTGGGCCTCAGTTTCCTCATCTCTGAAGAACAATAATCACACCCATCTGCTGGGGTTACTGTGAGGCTTAAATAAGAAAATCCCTTAGAAGTTTTTCAAAAAGGCCACCACTCTGCTGGCCCCTTTGAATAATGACACACTCTGTCCCCCTTATAAAACACACTGACAGGTGTTTTGGCAGGAAGGGGAGGGCCGGAGGCTTCACCTTGACCGGGCGGCTCAGGAAATTGTACAGCACAGCTTGGATCTGGACCTGCTCGTTCCTGACCACGGAAAAGGGCAGCTTAAGATCCACGAAGAATGATTTCCTAACTGTCAGCTCAAAGGGTTTCGAGACGCAGAGACCTGGAACCAGGAGGTCACGTTGAAGTTAAGCAGGAGCCCACTGTCCTGGGACTGGACGTTTCCCCGTTCTCTCAGCATTGGGCTTGTGGAGGTCACCTTGTCCAGCCTTGAGGCTGACGGCCACAAACTGCCACGTGGTCATGGAGTCTGGCATGTTCACAAGAATGTTGTGGTGGGAGGTGCTCCTGGAAGTGGCAGGGTGGGGACATCACTGAATTGGTGCTACCTGGACAGAGCCTCTGTCCAGGGGTCCTAATCACCGTGGAGGGCTCGGTGGGTCACCCCATGAGAGGCATCATCACTAGAGGGTCATCTTTTTGGGGGAACCACTGGAATCTGTATTCCCATCCAGGGAGGTTGCTATCATGGCACTATGCTGAGAACTCAGTGTCACCACTGGGGGCACTGGCCATGATTGATGTCCACTGATTCAGATGTTGGCATGGGGAGGTGGTCCTACCGCGATTCACTTTTTGGCAGAGTAAATGTCCTCCAGAGCCAACTTTCTGGGAACAAGGTCCGGACAGGCAGGTCCTCCAGGAAGATGTCCTCGAAGTCCTCCTCTTCATCGGCTGCAGGGGCAGGTGTGGGTTGGGATCTCCTTTCCATCTCTCCCTTGGTCAGCCCAGCAGGCCCTTTAGAATGGTCCTCCCATCCAATTTCCCCATGGCCCCTATGTCCCCCCGTAACCCATCCCATGGCACTCCTTGCCTTTTGGTAGAGGCCCCCAACCCCCTGCTTCCTGTCATGTCCCCCTCACTTGTTCCCAGAAGCAGCTGATCCTCCCGGTCCTCCCGAGTCAGGGTCTCGGACAGATGGCAGCAACTCAGGAAAGCAGCGACACAGGCTGACCCATGGCGGACATGCCGGGCCCTCTCCTTGCACGACAGCCCCACAGGGTTCTCCTGGAGCCCAGCCTTGCAGCACTTTTGCTCCAGCTCTGTCTTGAACTTGCTCACTGCGGGCCAGAGTCAGAAGGACAAAGAGGGGCTGGGCAAGGTCTGAGGAGGCTGGGAGCAGCCACCTCGATGCGTGTAGACTTGGCCTTGATTTAGCCATAACCCTCGCAGATGCTGGTCCTGGCACTTTGCCTGTGTCTTCCTCCTAAAACTTCACATTGAACCCATATTGGGGGTTCTGATCGGGAAGCTGAGTGACAGAGAGGCCAATCACTGGCCTAGGGTCACACACGTCACAGCGGCAGAGCTGGGCCCAGGATCCATGCTACTGCTGCTTCCCCTCCCCTCCCCCTCCTTCCTCCCCCTTTTCCTCCCTTTGACAGGGATCGGTGAGGCCATGCCACTCACAAGAGATGCCACTTGGGCTCCCAATTTTCATTATGTATTTTAAAAACATAAAGCTCGCTGTAAGGCATGATGTCAAGTTGAATGCTTCTAAATCAGCAAACCGAAGGAATGCACTTACAGAGAAAATTAGACCCATTGACAAACGTATTGTCCACCATATAACACGGTTAGAACATCTATAGTTAAATAACATAACTGATCATTACCATAAATAAAACAACAGTTCATATTATAAACTTCCCCCAGAAGGTTAGCATGATTTTTGATATTGAAATTAGAGTTAGGGTTTTAATCTAGAGTTTTACTGGATTTTGCTTTTATTTGGATCCACCAAGTCCTTAGCCCTGCTCAAAGAGACAGAAAACTCTAGCACTCCTGGGATACATGCTCCCCACGCCCACCAGGCGCCTCCGTCTTCCTCGGACTCCAGGCTCAGGGTGGGTGTTACCCGCTGGCACGCAGCACCCGGTCCTCCTCTTGTCTGCATTCCCCCCTGTGTCACAGACGCCTGACACCCAAAAGCTGTTTCCCAGACTCTCTCGCCGCTAGAGTTCTGGATGGGATTCGATTCTGCCCCTGAAATGCTCCTGTGAAATAGAAACAGGGGCCACTCCCCCCGCAGCAGTGGTAGCTAATGAGTGGGCCTCAGTCTGTGTGTCTGTTTAATGGGAAAGATTCCACGTTCCACTCTCAAGCCACCAGCCTCATGAGGAGTGTCAGCAGAAGTTTCCTGAGATTTCACGCATTGTAAGACCTGCGGTGGGGTGATCCTGAGTCCCAACAAGCAGCCTTCAAGCTTCCACTCCTATAGCCCAGTCAAATAATTTTGAAAGCACAGAACTCCTACGATTAAATCCCCCCTCCCTGCTTGAAGTACCTAGAATGGTTTCAGTTTTCCGGCTTAGGCCATGATGAATACAGTGGGTTAGGGGGCCAAGAGGGGCACATCCAGCTTTAGCTCTGACCTGCATTCCTCTTGGTCTCCAGGCTCTTCAGGGAGCGGCGGCGGCGGCTGGGAGGGGGGTTCTGGGGGCAGTGCCAGTCTGGGGGTCAGAGGGGAGAATGACAATTTTCAAGGTCATATCAATATCAACACCCCTGATGAAGGTAATTGGGTGCTCGCTGTATGCCCAGTGCTTTATGTGCATCACTTCATTTAACTCTACGGGTACCTCCGGTTCAAGATTCACCCCTGAAAAGTTACGCGGCCTTCAACAAGTCACAAGCTGTCTGGGTGTTTCTTTCCCCAGACAGCGATAAATATCTATCCTAGTTGTCCCCAATGTCCATTCTCCTTCCCTCATCTGTGGCAACTAACCCTCCATCTTTATGTCTCACTCAGAATGAAGAGCACGTTTCCCAGCTTCCCTCGCACCTGCCGGGGCCCTGTGACTGAGATCCGGCCAGTGCGACAGAAGCGTCCCCTCATCCCCTTCCCTTCACCCTGCTGCCTGGAATGAGGCTCTGATGAGGCGTCAGCTCCGAATACGACGGCAGGACAAGCTAGAAGGAACCTGAGTCCCAGAATGGCCTCCAGGTGCGTAGAGTGAGAAATAAACTTCTATCTTATTTAAGCTACTATTATCTTTATCTCTGACACACATGGACAAGTTGATATCTTAACACAGAGTGACACTTGTATTATTACCCCCATTTTATGGACAGAGAAATTGAGACTCAGAGAAGAAATGTGACTGGCCCATGGTGACTGTCAAGATCCTGGATTTTAGTCTGTCTGTTTGATGCCAGACCCCGTGTTCTTAACCACTAGACAGTGTTGCCTCCATTCCTGCCACCCTCCTGTCCCCTCCTGTCCCCTGCCTGTACCTGAGCTTGCCAGGGTGTCCATCCCTGTGCTCATCTTCAGGTCCAATCCAGCGTCCTTGAACACGGCAAGCCTGTCTTTCCCACTGCCTGCTGTGCAGCCAATGTCATGCTCCTCCACCACATCCCAGACCTGGGGGTCCAGAGAGGAACCTGCATTTGGAGGCTGTGTGGCCCTCCAGGGAAGGCGCAGCAGTGCGCTGTAATCGCTAGCTCAAGCAACAATTCTCACACTATCTCCCATTTGTTGAGCCCTTACCACCTGCCAGTCTCTATACTGTGCACTAGCTACTTGAATCTTTGCAATCGATGATGTTCTTTTTACAGTTGAAGAAGCTGAAACTCCAGCTAGAATGTCCAGGCAATATTTTGACCCCAAATCCACATGTTCTCACCTTCTTCTGTGTGAGCTTGTGTTTGCTGTTCAAGACATAGACAGCCTTGTCCACGGCCACCAGCCCCACTGTGGCCTCTGCATCACCTGTCACCTTTATTTCCACCCGATTGTTGGGCTCCAAAGAACTGTAGGATTCTTCACTATTTAAGCCAACCTTCAGCTGAGCCAGGAAAAAGAGATATGTCATCAAAAGGGGCTTATGGGCTTCCCCAAGTCTACTTTCAGGTTCCCTACAACTCTGATGGAGCATTAGGGAACTCCACCAGGCCAATCCCAACTCCACACATTTACTTGCGTCATCTCCACTCCCTAGTCAAGCTTTTAAAGCCACATCTCTTCCTCTTACACTCACCTGCCCCTAGGCTGGGAGCCCTTGAACTTGGACAGACCCTCTCCCAAAATTTCTGATGGCGATGTACAACTTCAAGGAGTTTGGCTCACCGTCCCCATGCATCTGTCATTCACATCGATCCATATGGAATCGGTCACCAGTTCAGGGTCCTGGCCTGTTCCTCTGGGCAGTAAATAAAAGGCCACGATGCGGAAGGAGGGCAGCATCTCCGAAGTCACTTCAATAATGGTTGACGTGTAGACACTCCCATGACTTTTTAACTGATGTTTGGCAGACACAATCTGACCCTTACTCAGGACCTTAAAAATAAGGGAGGCCAAGGATGAGAAAGGTAGGGCCAGCCCACAGGAGAGGTCTTCAGCCCCTTTGCTTCAGTTCCTTGGCCTGAGCCCACCCCGGATGGTTCCCACCTTCATGCCATTGTTCATAGTTCCTCCAACTCAGCTAGCCAAGACTGTTCCAGGGAAAGAATTCCTTGGCTCAAGCCCTGGTCCTCAGTCCCTCACCAGGATGGTGAAGTGAGTGATCTGCTCCTGGGTTGCAGGGTCCTGATGCCTTGTGTTGAGGTTCAGCTGGAGGTTGCCGCCAACTTCTGTGGCAAGCATCTTCACATCGATGTGCAGGAAGTTCCCTGACCCATTCTGAGTTGAGTAAGGCAAGGCCGTCATCCTGGCTGATGCCTGATCCTCTGGCCGAAGATCTGCATCAGTTTGCACCTGGGGAGATGGACGGGCAGCTAACCCTCAATCCTTTCACTTACCACAACCCCACCACTTCTGCCCCATCAGGTTGGTACCAGGATAGGGAGCTGCTCCAGATTTGCATCTGTGTTGATGGTCAGAGTGGCCACCCCATCGTCTGAGGTGTACACTTTGTGATTTTTGCAGCGAACGAGGACTTTGGAAGCTGGGGACCCATCAGGATTGGAGACGAAGACCTGGGGTGGAACATGGGGTGAGAAAAAGGACAGGCCTGGGGGTGGCCTGGCGTGAGAGGTGGGAGCTGTGAACGCGACCTGGATAGGACTGCCTTGTAGAGCTGTGTGTTGTGCACTGAGCAACGCCAGGGATACCATTCATATCAGTCTTTATGAGTGGCACCCCGAAGACGGCTGCAGTGCCCAACCACAGGTGGTGGCCCTGGGTACTGATGCGCCCGTGGGGTGAGGATAGCATGGAATTGGGGGAGGAGAAGGGAAGAGGGGACATGGAGGGCTTGAGGGAAAGCAGAGTAGGACTGATACTAAAGTAATGCCCATCAGACATCTCAAGGTCACCCCAAATGAATGTAGGAGAAAACAGCATGCCTGCTGTGCAACGGTAGGCTCAAGATAAACTCCCGAGTACCAGGTTCCAGCCTGACTGTGACTCCTAAGCCCCCAGAGAGGCGTTGTGGAGCCATCACTGTGCTTTGGGGAGACCTGGGTAAAGACTTGAGGAAACCTTGGGACTAATCTGGGGGGCATGATAGACTCAGCTCTCAGAAAGATGAGTTGTGGGGGGCAGGTGAGTCCAGTGTGGGTTTTTATTTTCTGAATGGGCGTTGTTTGAGGGTGGGGCCCCTGAGTCCTTGGGTGGAGTGAACCCAGACCCTGACCCTAAAATGGAAGGGCATCCCAGGCTTGAAATACTGGGGTGTCCTGATGAACTTGATGTTGTATGGGCTCTGGACGATCTTCATCCCTGAGGTCTCGGCCTGGACCATCTCGCCCCCTGTGGAGACAGGAGGAACATGAGGTTTGCGGAGCAGGTTTAATTTCTTGGGTGAGCGGCAGGGCTGCTGGTATGGGGGGCCCATCTTGGTGATGACAAGGAAAGACAGTAACACAATTTCAGCTCCTGCCAGCCCTTCTGGCATTTTCCTATTTCTCTGATGAGGAAACTGAGGCAGGAGTTTGCCTCAGGTCACGTGGGCAGAATGTCTGGGCTGGGAAGGAACACACTGTCCTGAACTCAGCCATGGCCTGGGTGAGGGTGGCACCTGAGGAGAACACGGTGACGTTGACGAAGATTGAGGCCCCTATGAAGTCCTCTTCTGGGCCTTGGAATGCAGCCATCAACATGTCCTTCTGGAGGGAGATGTGGCCCTGGCCTTTAGAGATCTGCTCTCGGGGCAGGAGAGAGGAGAGGAGATGGTTTCTTGGGGGAAGTGAAGGAGGATTGGGGGCAGGGGAGGCTGGGGAGAGGTCCGGACTTGGTCACCTCCACCCTCTGCAGGGAACTTTGAATGGAAATCCGGCGGGAATCCAACGTCACCCCGAAGATGGCCAGGGCGTGTCCGTCCACCGGCTTGTTGAATATGTACCTGGGGGATAAAGAGCTGTTCCACTGGCTCTGAAGCACCCGCGCAACCCCACGTGGCTGCAGAGATGGCCCATCCATCTCCCAGGGCTGCAATGATGGCTGTGAAACTTTGGGAGGGGCAGAGGTGGCCTCTGGAAACTTCAATGGTTTCATTGCTGACCCACAAAATCCTGGGAGGTGGCAAGTATGTCACATAAGGCCTGTTGGGTTGTAGGTGTGGCTTGTGCAACCTCATGAGATGGTAGAGGTAGCTTGTACAACCATATGGAGCCACACAGAAGTCTGGACAAGCCATGGGGTGGCAGAAGTGGCCTGTGCAGCGTGGCAAAGCTTCAGGAATGATCTGTATAATGTTAAGAAGTGGAAGACATGGCCCTGAGAAGCTTAGCTGGACAACATAGCCTATACAACCTCACAGAGCTGTGGGGATGCTCAGCAAATCCCGTAAGGCAGCAAATATGGCATTTGCAATGTCATAGTTCTGCAGAGATGATCTGGATAATCTCACGAGACGCCGAAGGTGCCTGTGCCACCTTGTGGACCTTCAGAGATGGCCCGAGCCATGAGATGTGGTACACTCCACTGGGTGGACAGGGTGGCCTGTACAATGCCAGAGCCTGAAGGGATGGCCTGCCCAGCCTCACAGGTGGCAGGCGTGCTCTGTACAACCTCATTGGACAATGTGGGTGACCAAGAATATCTCAGGGGTGTCAGAAAGTGCCTTTATTATACCCCAAGTGCTATAGAAGTGGCCTGCTTCTTACTATCCTTCAGTTTCTTGGTGTCCTTGATCCTCTGGCCGGGCTAAGAGTAAGGGCACTCACCAGGCTTGGATTTCCACACTCAGAGCTTCATTACTGAGGTAGAAGAAGGTCTTCTTTGGGATCAGCCGGACCTCAAAAGAAGGAAGCACTGGGTGGGATAAAAGGCAGTGGACACCCTCAGCAATTCACCATCCTCCCCTTCCCCTCCCTGTCTTGCTCCATCCCTGGTGACTCTGGCACACATGGCCCAAGGGCTGGTACACGTGGCCCTGTTCACCAGCACCCAGCTCAGGCCCTGGCACACAGCAGGTGTGCCACAAGGCCTCCTTTGAGTCTCCAGCCCTGTTTCTGGCGTGTCCCGCCCCGCCCCCCCTCACACCCTGCTCACCATACTCCTTCACGTCAAAGGCTGCTTTGAACTTCTGCTTGGTTGCACTTTGGTAACTGGCTTCAATGCGCCAGGTCCCGAGACTGAGGCACAGAAAGTTGGGAGGGATGGAGACTGAGGAGACCCTCCCTCCCTCCCTCCCTCCCTCCATCCCTGGGGCTTCCCAGTAGGGCACCTGATGAGCTCTGGGAGGTGGAAGGAGCTTGAGAAGAAACCTTCCTTGGCCAGCAGATCCTGGCTGATCACAGCGATCCCTTCTGGGTTCTGCAGAGACAGGGGGTAGGTGGTTCATGCCCCCAGGCCCCCAGCACCTGATATAACCCCAGAGTCTGGGATCCACCCTGCCAACAAGAGAGGCCACCTTGATGTCCAGAGTGAATGTCCTGGTCACAGGATCCATCTTGTGGTTCACAGTGAACACCCGGTACTGAACTAGAGGAGGGAAGGCTGAGTGTTGGACAGAGTTTGGGGAGGGGGTGAATTCACTCTAATCTTGGGCAGTGCGGAGACCTTGGCAGGTGGAATATGTTGGGCACTGGGGGAGGCTGGGGGTGAGAGTCGACATTTGCCTCAGGCCAGGTGCTCAGAGGCTGTACCTATGTGCTCGGGGGTGTAGATGGTCTTGTCTGTCTGGATGAAGATGTAGCCAGCATGGGGGGCCACCAGCACAAGCTTCTCCATGGACGAGGGGGTGGAGGCAGGCGCCCAGGTTGCCCGGATGATGACATACTGCTGCCCTGGTCGTGGGGGGTATACCAGGCTCTCGGGAACCTGGGGAGAGATGCCCACACTCCTCAGGCCCTGCTGGGCTCTCCATCCCTGGGAGCAGAGCCGTGGGCCAGATCTTGGGAGAAGCAACTGAACGGAGGCTCTCTGGCTCTGCTTTTGGGAGCCAGGTGGCCCTGTGTGGCTGTGCAGTTTCCTCCCGCACAGGGACATTCCTCCCAGGGGAGATGTAATCCAGTCCATGCTCAGTTTTCCAGGTCACCAGCAGAGGGCGCCTTTTTATTAATTAGCACAGAGGCATCATATAGGCTAATCGTGGACCTTCTTGGAGCCCAGATTTAAGGGATTTTGGCTTTTTAAATGGACAGAGCATAAGAGGAGCACCAAATATATCCAAGCCCTGCATCTATTCCCTAGTATCTCTTGTGGGAAGTCCCGCTAGAGTCTGCCCCTCTTGCTGCTGGCCCAGAGCCTCCCTTTGTGGCCAGCCATCCTGGCCTGTCACCTACCATCACGGTTGCCTGGTTCATAAAGTGGTTTTCTGGTGAGAGAATGAGCTGGCTTCTGGCCACCTCCGTCTTCTTCATGGGGAAGTCCCACACAGTGAGGTTCACCTTGAGGGTCCCCGTAAGGGGCTGCCTGGAGTCCGAGTGAGCTTGCACGTGGATGTTCTCAGGACTGCCGACCCGCAGGACTCGGGGGGTCACCAGGATGTACCTGCCGGTAGACAAACACAGGCACAGGGGGGCTCCAATGGGGGAGACAACAGCAGAGACAGATGGGGTCCTATGCAGGGAGTCATGAGGAAAACAGATGTGTAGGCAGTTAGAAGGTTCCCCTCGGTTTCCCAGACTCACAGTGGCTCAGCATGGGTGAGGGGGATCCCCAAGAGGAACAGAATCAACCCCAGGGACCAGGGCACGTCCATGGCAGTGGGAGAATGATGTGGGGCCACTGGCCACAGATGCCTGTCCTCTTGTCTGCCCTTGCTCTGGTCTGTTTGCCTTGGCCTGTCCTGGCTTAGTTAATATCTAAACGGATATGGGAGGGGATCCCCATAAACCCAATGGGAGCAGAGCGGGCTGCTCCTCCCTTCTCAGCCAAGCCTCCATTGGGGGGCTGGGGACAGTTGCACTGACCATTGTTCCAGTTCCCGGCTTGGGGGCCTGAGTGGGGGGGTGTCCTTCCCATGAGCCATGAGGCCCTGTTCTGAAGCCCTGCCCTGGCCCAGCAAGAAGCCTAAGCCATGTGGGTCAGGTCACTGGACTCGGGCTTGGCGGGGATAGGCTGGAAGGGGCAGGAGGAGACAAGCCTGTCCCCGCCTCCACCCTTGTGAAATTGGCCAGAGTTACTGGAAGCACTGCGGGAATAATGTGTTCGTTTCCCAAGCACGGAGCAGGCATGTGGCGTTCAGCCGTCTGGTCCCAGGATCCGCCATCATAGGCCCTTCTGAGAAATGCACCGGTCAGATCCTTTTGCTCTTGATCTTTCTGCACCCAGCACATCCTGCAGGGTTTTCTCCTTGGTTGGAGGAGACAATGATGCTTGGTAAACTGTGACGATTGTCCATTGTTCCTAAGCCATGCCAAGCTCTCTGGGCTCCTTTTCCAAAGGCAAATTATACATATTAAACCAGGGATGAAAACGCATCATGCTTGAAGCATTCCCGGAAGAAAGCATTTTCTGTTCTGAAATAATTCTCTCTGGCTGTTTAAAGTGCCCATTAAAAGCTCTGAGCCCACTTCGTGGTGTCTGCCTGTTAGAAGCAGGCGGGGTTGCAGACAAGGTTGTCTGGTTTTTCCTTTTGTGAAGTCAATGACGCTAGAGTGAGGAGTCTTGCCTATTGGAGGGCCCCAGATCTCCCCAAACAATGATAATGTACATTTATGCAACAAAGATTCATTAAGTATTTACTAGGAGCCCAGCCCTATCTACATGCTGGGGACGCAGCAGTGACCACAATAGACAAAATCCCTACCTGTGTGGGGAGCACAGTGAAGGGAGCCTTACTAAGGGCCTCCGGTGCGCTTTCTCCTTGAACCTCCTCGCCTGCCGTGAATTGAGTTCAGGGCGTGCCGACTTCCCAGACTGTTTTTGTAGAGCACTGGAAACCCAGGTGTGTTAGAAACGAGGGCGGCAGCTAGAATCTAGTCTTTTATTCCCCAAGCACTTATTGAGCATCTACTATGTGCCAGATGCTATTTTACATGCTCTGTGTCCATCCACATAAGTCTCACAGCCACGCTGGAGTAAGAATTAGCACCCGCTGTAAAGATGAGGAAACTGAGTTTCCAGGAGGGTGAGCCACTTGCCCTGTCACATGCAGATGAGCTAAGAGGATGGGTGATGCACTTAAGGCTGTGGTCAATAATCTCTTAGGAAGCAAGGAATGAAGAGAATCCAATTAAGGCCTGGATTGGTGAAGCAGGTGACATCTAACTTAGAAGGTTCTAGAACTTTGGTGTTCATTTGGGGTGGCTGTTCCAGGCTCTTAGGGAATCTCCACCAGTTCTGTTCAGCTCTCCCGTGGCTGGGGTGAGCTCTCTCCTTCATGTCCTTGTCCCACACCATGTGTCCATGTCCCCCCTCCTCTGTCCTGGGGGCTCCCAGAGTTCCGGGACAGGGTGTCATCCAAAGGCAAGTGGTGCAGAGGCTCTATCCTCAGTTCCTCCTACCTTCCCTCCAGGCTGGGCTCCCTCCAGCAGTTCCAGTGGCTCTGTCTTCCGAGTGGGAATCCTTGCCAGGGAGGCACATCTGAGCCTTTTTTGAGGTATGCTCAGACCTGTGGCTCCCTTCAGTTTTTTTTGACTTGGGGTGGTCCCAGGAAGGGAAAAACTGCCCTTGGGTGCTTATGAACAGCCGAGGAGACAGGAAACACTTTGAAAGCAAACGAGGCGAGGGTGTCTGTTGGGATGTGGCCTTGCCATCCAATGAACAAATGGATGGAGGCAAAAGTGGGTATTGGGTGAGTGCTCAATAGCAGGAACTCACACTGCTGTCCCCTCTACCCCACCCTAACCCCAGGTCCTCCCAAAGAAGAAGGTTAAGCATTTGTTCAATTACGGTGTGTTGGGCACCTATTGTGTACCTGGCCTTGTCGTAGGCGCTGGGAACCCAACAGTGAACAGGACAAACCCTCGTGCTTTCGGAGTAGACATTTACTGCAGCCACGTTCACCAGGACTGTCTCTTTTAATCCTCTCAGCAACTTAATGACCTATGGACTCGTTTTGCTGATGAACGAACCCAGGCACTGGAAGGCGAAGCGTCCTGCCCCCAATTTTGCAGCTAGGAAACTCAGGCACAGGGAGGTTAAGTGACTTTCCCAGGGTTACACAGCAGTTCAGTGATGGAGCTGAGCTGCTGAACCGAGGCTTAAGAGGGAGGGGGAGGAGGGCCCCCCCGCAGAGCTCACAGCCAGATCGAGAGGTAGGGAGAGGAGCTGTGGGCTCCACCCCGCCCGCCCCAGCCCTTAATGGTCAAGTTCAGTTTCTCGCTTGGCCACGAGAGGGCGCCAGCCAGCCTCGGGTGAGACGCGAGAGCCGCTGGGCCCCGCCCGCAGGAATGCGGCTGCGGGAGGGCGGGGTCGCGGCTGCGAGCCCGGGCCAGCTGCTGCTTCAGCGCAGATTCCGCCAGCTTCCTTTCCCTGGAAGCCCGGGTTTGGAGCAAAGAGGCTGGGGCGGGAGGAGCGGCCTTGCGGGGACGCGTGGCCTCTGTTTTCACCTCCTCCCCCCCCTCCAGGGCTTCCAGCCGGGGCTTCCCAGGAAAGGCCGGGCTGGACCCAGGAGGCAAGTAATAGTACCCATATGGACATCACAGCGAATAGCTGTCATTTCTGAAACAGCAGCTAAGCTCTGGCACATAGTAGGGATTTTCTCTCCAGCAAATCCTGGAAACCGAGGCTTTTCCAGATGAGGAAACCGAGGCTCAGAGAAGTGGCCTTTCTGGCTCAGGTAGGAAGTGTAAAGAGCTTCTTAGCTGGGCTGCTGCTGCCAGGAGGTGCCCAGCTTGGTCACTTCCAGTCCCAGCTCAGGCTCCTCCGGTCATTTCTTGGTTCCGGAGGGCTTCTGATCATTCCACTTGGTTTCCACAAGGCTTCAGGAACTGGCCTTGCTCCCTGACCCCTAAGGGCATTGCATGCCTTCCCTCCAGGTCCAAGAAGGTCTTGGCTGGAAGTGAGAATTTTCAGAAGAAGCTTGTTGCTAGTCTTGGAGGAAATATAATTCTGCAGTCAGGTTTAGGGTTGATTATAGGGTCTGAAAAAGCACTGTGGAATTACGATGATATCTGCCCCAAGAACTCACAGCCAGATCAAGGAGGACTACCCATAAATAAGCAGATGTGAGGGCCAGAGGAGCCTCCTAACCCAACTAGCCTGGGGAGTCAAGGAAGGCTTCCTGAAGGAAGTGGCATTTAGGCTGAGACCTGGAAGTCTTAGTGAAGTAAGAGTAATCAGGTGAAGGTTAGGAGTGGGAGAGAGAAGACAGTTTTGTTTCTGGGGGTGGGAACAACCTGTGCAAAGACCTGGAAGAAAGATGGAGCATGGTGGCTTCAGGAGCAGAAAAGGATCTTTAAATCCTTCTTATTAGGTCAAGGAAAGTCTCATTTTAATGCATTAATTTACCCACCCTTTCCTTCCTTCATCACATATTTGAGTGTCTATCATGTGTCACATAGGTACTGAGAATGCAGCTGAGCAAACAGACAACCATCTCCTCCCCAGGAAGCTGACATTCTAGTGCGTGGAGATGGGCAAGAAACAAACCGTGTACATAGCTGTCGTATATATGTCGGTGATGAGAAATAAGATAGTCTAAGGGGCTAGAGTGACAGGGTACTATCTTGTGGTGATTAGGGAGGGAGGACCACTCTGAGTTGGTGACATTTGCACACCTGAAGGAGGTGAAGGAGAGAGCCATGTGGCTATCTGGGGAAAGCAGGCGAGGCAGAGGGAACAAGTGCCAAGGCCCTGAGGTGGGAGGGCGCTTGGCGTGATTGAGAAACAGCAAGGAGGCCAGTGTTCTCAGTGTTCCTGGAATGAAGCAGGTGGAGGGGAGAGAGTGGGAGATGATTTGAGACAGGTATTCAGGGATGAGATCATGTAGGAGACCTGATGGTCGGTGATCTGAATCTAAGTAAGAGGGGACACCGTCGGAGAGTTTTGAAAAGAGGAGCGATGTTACCTTTCTGTTTTAATAGGATCACTTTGGGTATGTTCCTTGTTACTATAACTTGAAATCCAAACTTCATCAGTACAGGACTGGTTGCGTAAATTATTGTCCTTCTACGCAATAGAATATTGCAGCTCCGCAGAAGACTGGACCTGCCCGCTGGGACTGATGTGAAAAACTTCTAAGACATGGAAGGAAAACTTCTAAGACATTCAAGGAAGGAACTCAAGTTCACACTATGTGTATGGTATGATGCTTTTTGTAAAAAAGTAAAAAAAAAAAGTATATATTCAGTTTTTTTCCATTAAAATGTTTATTTTAAAAATTGTGATAAAATATACAGAACACAAAATTTCCCATTTTAACCATTCTTGAGTGTACAGCTCAGTGGCATCAAATACATTCACATTATTGTACATTCACATGGTTGTATCCCCACCATCTGTCTCCAGAACTTTCTCACCTTCCCAAAGTGAAACTCTGTCCCCATTAGGCTCTAACTCCCTTTCCCCTCACCCATCATCCACTGTCTGTCTCTATGGATCCAACTCCTCTAGGGACGTCCTATGAGTGGAATCACACAGTATTTGTCCTTTTGTGTCTGGCTTATTTCACTCAGCCTAATGTCCTCAAGGTTTACCCAAGTTGTAGCCTGTGTCAGAATTTCTTCCTTTCAAAGGCTGAATGACATTCCTTTGCATGTGTGTATATACCACAGTTTATCAATTCGGCAGTCTTTTTTCTTGTACAATGAGAAAGAAAATCTGGATAGATAGCTCCAGCAAGTTATAACAAGCAGGGGTGGGGGATCAGGAATTGGGCAGTTGAGAATAGGAGAATTGTTTTAAAAATATTCTTTAATTATGTTTTAAAAAACACACACATTGCGAACATTTTACTTATTCAAAAATGTTTTTTTCAGGATCCTCTGGGCTGCTATGTGGAGAATGGGTTTTAGGGGCAAATGCAGAAGGTGGGAGGGGAAGGGGCTGCTGCAATACTCCAAGGGAGACGTGATGGGGGCTGGGCTAGTGTGGAGGCCAAGGAGGTGTGTGAGGTGGTTGGTTCTGAATATATTTTGCGGGTCGTGTGAACAAGATCTCCTGCTATATTGCTGTGAGGTGTGACAGGTAGGAACTAGAGATAACGCCAAGATTTTTGGCCCGAGCCACTGGAGGAACGAACTTGTCTTTGTTAAGACGGGGCAGGCAGGGACCAGGTACTAGTGTTGAAATAAAGAGGCAAAGGTCAGCGTGTCTCTAACATCTTTTGAACTTCTGCCAACCTGTCAGCTCCGTGGCAGAAAATAAAAGAGCAGTAGCATCCAGCTAGATTTAATAAGAGCCCCCTACCCCCACCACTGCGTTTAATTGTACAGTCACCATCTGGATTGGTGACGATTCTTCCGTAAATGCATCTGAAACTGACTCAGGGTGATTTAAGCTGCAAAGGAATTTATCGGGTGGACACTGGGGGCTCATGCAATCACCAGCCTTGGAAGATGAAGTGGAACAAAGGGATCCTGGCCTGGTGGCTGAGCTGGTTGGACCCTGGTCTGTGCACCAAAAGGCAGGGGGTTCAATTCCCGGTCAGGGCACAAACCTAGGCTGCAGGTTTGACCTCCGGTCCGGGTGCATGTGGGAGGCAACTGATCAGTGTTTCTCTCTTTCTCTCTCTCTCCCTTTCTCTTTTTCTGAGATCAATAAAACATATTCTCGAGTGAGAATAAAAAAAGGAACAAAGTGGGGGTGCACTTGTTTTGTCTGTTGTTGTTGCTATTAGCCATTCTGAGTGTGAGGTGGACCCTGTTGCTTTTTAATTTTTTTACTTAGACACAAGAAGTTGAGCTTTATTAAGTGTTTAATATAGCGATTATTAGTGGTTACAAATCTATATTTTGTGAAAAAATATATGTACATTACTGGTGTGTGCACAAATACATTTTGCTGGCGGAGTGTGCGTGGAGATCCCCTAGTGAACCCAGCTCTATGCATGTGTTTGGGGGGGAGGGTGATGAGGTGTCTGGATCATTTCCGCATTCCCAGGCCCCACATAATGAAGTCCTAAGAGATAGTCTGTCTCACAGACAATGCCCCTTCCTCCAGGAAGCCTCCCTTGCCTTCCTAGACACAGCACCAGCTCCCAGCTCTGGACTCCTCAGCCCTGGGCCCTAGGTTCCTTCTCTGCCCACCGAGGGTCTGAGCCTGGAGGCTGAGCGATGCCCAGGGACAGGGCGGGTCAGGCCGATTTTGCTGAATGAACGAGTGAATGAATGAAGGTCTGTATGGCCTCTGACCTGGGTGTGGACGGAGGAGGCCTGGCTGCTCAGGAGTGGGGAGGGTCGGGCGAGGCTCCCCGGGGCCAGACCCGAGGG